TCTCCTGCCTGCAGCCTGTTTCCGCCATCTTCGGCTCCAGTGGGCCTGCGCGGCCGCGCCCTCCCCGCGGTGTTCCGCCATCTTCAGCGCCCGAAAGGTAGCCGCGCGGGCACCCCTGAACCCCCCGCACCCGCCAACCTCCCCCTCGTGCTTTTAGACCTCCTGATTGTGCCAGTTTTTGGACCTCCTCTGTAGAAGCAGAGGTGGTCATAAAGAGTATTTTCCGGCGCTTTCAACTTTGAACATCTTTAAAGACGTGGTAGGGTTGGGGCTGGGGATTTAGCTCAGCGGTTCAGTGGCCTGCCTCGCAATTGCAAGGACCCCAGTTCGATCCCCGGTACCAAAAAAAAAAAAAAAAAAAAAAAAAAAAAGTGGTGGGAAAACTTATAGTAGAACTGAGTGGAGTTGAACCCTTTAGGAGGTCTGGGAACTCAGTCTGGGCCTAGCAGCTCGAGCTCAGTCTGCTTTGTGGGGTTCTGCCACCAGCTAGCTGAGATCAGGGGACTCGGCTCTGCACATGGCGGCACATATTGTGTATTATGACAGCAGTGATATAGTCTGAAAGAGGCCCCTTCAAACTCATTTTTGTTTCTTTTTTTTTTCCTTTCATTCCACTCTGCAAATTCTTTTTTTTTCTTTGTTTTCTTTCTCCAACTCAGTCTCTTACTCTACTATAGTATCCCTCATCTTCCTTTCTGTTTCTGCTCTTGTCCTAACTCAGATTTCTTCTTTTATTATTTTTTGTTTTCTTTATGCTCTTTTCTTACATCATTCTACCTCACTCAAGGGTTATTATACTTCTGTTTTGTTTGTTCTTTTTGAATTTAACAGTTTCCTGATGAATGTCTGGTCATTCTACGTCCTTTGGCTTCAAATGAAACCTTCTCTAATTCTTTTACTTATCTACTCCTCTTGTCTTAACTCTGTCTTAAGCCCCCATTCTAAATGGTAAATATCCTTATTGAAAAGTTTATTCACTGTAAGTATATTTTGGATTGCTTCTTGATTTTAATTTAATTTACATGGTTTGAAGGTGATACACTGATGACTACCATAAGTGGTCAGTTTGCAAATTGTGCTTCATTATATTGGTGCTGATTGTATCAATTAGGATATAGGATTGTGATTGATTCAGTGAGCTGTATTCTTCAGTATTATGAAAATGAGAATGTCTATGAGTCATTAGAGACCTATGGGCTGAAGCCCAACTATATCAGGAAGATTTAAGTAATAACCTAAAGGTTAAACTAAGGACAGCCCAACAACAGTAGTTAAAAATGAGAAAACGCTTAAGCAAGACACAGGGACAGACTTCCAGTTCACCAATGGCAAATAGTGGGGCAAATGAGGATGAAAAGCCTGACAGTGAATCATCAGGACACCCTGAACTCAAAGCACAGGAAGTAACAAAACTGATCAATCAGGCTCTAGAGAAATAAAAAACAGAAGTAATTTCCCAGATAATCATAGAGATGATGAGCAAAATGAAAGTTATAGTTTGTGACTTTAGAACAGAAACTGAGAGGAAAATGGATGAGCTCAGGACCATGATAGAAGCCATGAATGCCCAGCCTAAGAAAGAATTGGAAACAATAAATGCCCAGTACAAGAAAGAAATGGAATCCATAGGACAGATTCGAACAGATATTCAGGAGATCAAAAACTCCATTGAGAGTGTTCACAAAAGAATAAAAGAGTCCAAAGAAGAATCTCAGATATAGAAGATAAAATTGCAGTCAGTGACAGTGAAGAGAGGTCTCTTAAAAACAGTAGGGAATCATGAGAAACTGATACAACAACTCTTAGATGATACAAAGAAGAATAACCTAAGACTGATAGGAATTGCAAATGACTTTAAAAAGCTGTTCACAGAATTAATTCTAGAAAACTTCCCAGAGGGGAAGAATTTGACATACAGATAAGTGAGGCATATAGGACTCCAACTAGCCGTGATCAAAAAAAATCTACACCTAGACATATAATAATCAAAATCCCAAAAACCCAACAGAAGATCAAAATAATACTACAAGCAGTAAGAGACAAGAAACAAATTACATTCAAAGGAAAGCCCATGAGAATCACAGCAGACTTTTCAATACAAACCTTTAGGTTAAGGAGAGCCTGGAATGAGACATTTCAAGTACTAAAAGAAAACAACCTCCAACCTAGACTGATGTATCCTACAAAACTTTCTTTCAAAATGGATGGGGAAATAAGATATTTCCATGATAAAGAATGCCTGAGAAACTTTATGAACACCAAACCAGCACTACAATGAATTCTAAACAATATCCTAGAAAAAGACAATGAAGGTAACAACACAATGAGGCCCAACAGAGCAAATCAAATAGGCAAGCCAAGAAACTAAAAGGAAAAGGCGAAAAAAAATTACAATAATAAGTTAGTATATATTAGTTATAACCATCAATATCAATGGCCTCAATTCACCAATCAAGAGAAATAGACTGGCAGAATGGATTAAGAAGCAAAATCCAATAATATGTATACAAGACACATCTAGTGCAAAAAGAAGCCCATAGACTGAAAGTGAAAGGACAGAAAATTTCTTCATGTAACAGGAGCCCAGAAGAAAAGCAGGGGTAGCAATCTTATTCACAAAGTAAGTTTCAAACCTAAATTGAAAAAAACACTACATCCTTGTGAAGGGAACAATTCAAGAGGAAGAGATAACAATTTATTTTTAATTTATTGAATATGTGAGAAAGTACATATTTTTTTTTCCTCTTTTCTTCTTTTTTTCTTTTTTCTTTTTCTTCCTCTGATGCTGGGGATTGAACTCAGCACATTGTTCTGGCTAGGCAGGTGCAGCACTTCCGAGCTAAATCTCAGGCTTTACATTTCATATTTTTAAAATTTATCAACACATTAATTCTTGTCTTTATATGTTGGTCTGCCAAATTGAGTTATTTTGGTTCTCATTTTCTTTGCTTTTTTATTTGAGAATTTATGAAATCTTTATATATGAGTAGTATGAAAAGTATTAAGGTTCATCTGTCATTTTCCTTTCATCTCTGCTTTCTACAAACTTCCTTTTCTGTCACTACAGCTTGTTTGGTTGGAAACTTGTTAAGACAAATGTTATGTTATTAATATATCTTTGTACCTATTTTCTACTGATGATGAATGTTAATTTTTAAGTAAATTTTATTATAACTATACTTAAATAAATCATTAATATCATTTAGTATCTGGTACATATTACAAATTCCCCAGTTCCCTCAAAGATGATATTTGTTTTTTTCTCAAATCACACAAATCACCAACATTCCACACATCACTGCACTGTTTTATTATACCAAAGTATATATTGTATTGTAGAAAATATGCATTGTGTATATGTGTGGGGGGTATGTTTTTACACATATGTGTGCACTATTAAATGAGAAACATGATCATGAATGTGGTAGGATTGTGCACATTTGGCATATTGATAGTTTCTCTGGCAACCTTATGATTTCTCTAAATTATATGCTTGGCTTAATTCATAGTCATTCATTTAGGAAGAATATTACATATGTATTGGTGTTAAATTCTATCATTATGCTTCTATAATGAAAACAAGTATGGGATACAATAAAATAGAAACAGAAAAATCTGATTTTAAAAATGTAAATTCTTTTAGTTGCTTTTGGATTTCAAATATAAATATTTTTTTCTGTAGGAAGTTTTGATAGAAAATATAAGTGGTACAGTCAAGAAGCATATGATATTTATCAATAAAACCAAGGAGTTTATAAATCATAAAATTTTGAGGACAGTTTCTGAACTATAATATGTAACACTGTTTTACTTGTAATTACATTATTTCAAAAATATATAAGAAAATGAGAAAACATAATGTTTGAAGATCATATCAAACTAATAATGTATATCATTTATTAGTCTGTTACAAAAATTTTTGTTTATTTCATGTCCTTTTTTGCAGTCATATATATGTACATCTGAAATTTTTATTTAGTATCTTCATTTCTTGTTATCATGTATGTTTGCAATCTTTAATAAACAAATATTTAAACACGTTTTAAAAATTAAAAAAAAAAAAACAGGTGGAGGTGTGAAGAAATATTGATCCCCAAACTGGGGTAATTGACTACTTCCTTTTTTCCTGCTCCTTGAGAGGCACTGACGAGAATAGGTACCACATCGTATCAGAAAGCCTTTCACTAATTAGCTGCAGGAAAGTTGGGTAGAATTTATATATGTAACTTTTTTACTTGTAATTACATTATTTCAAAAATATATAAGAAAATGAGAAAACATAATGTTTGAAGATCATATCAAACTAATAATGTATATCATTTATTAGTCTGTTACAAAAATTTTTGTTTATTTCATGTCCTTTTTTGCAGTCATATATATGTACATCTGAAATTTTTATTTAGTATCTTCATTTCTTGTTATCATGTATGTTTGCAATCTTTAATAAACAAATATTTAAACACGTTTTAAAAATTAAAAAAAAAAAAACAGGTGGAGGTGTGAAGAAATATTGATCCCCAAACTGGGGTAATTGACTACTTCCTTTTTTCCTGCTCCTTGAGAGGCACTGACGAGAATAGGTACCACATCGTATCAGAAAGCCTTTCACTAATTAGCTGCAGGAAAGTTGGGTAGAATTTATTAGAGGAAAAAAAGTCAGAGGGAAAAAATTCACCTTTGCACAGACCTGTGCTTTACTGAAAAGAAACTCAAAAAGATTTAGGGAATGAGGAATCAAAGTATCTGGACCCTTCATAGAAAGATCCAACACATAAAGAGTTGTTGTTCACTGTGACTCAAAAGTTTCATCTGTGGACGTTGATTACCCTCTAGCTACCCTACCACTTAGAATCTATAATATTCTCCAACAGCAAGTTCTCTTTCTGTCTAAATCATTTTTTACAGTGGAAAAAAATGGCACTTTCTGTGCTGCCACCTTACCCTACTTTGCTGTTGCCCTGGTAACATCATGAGATAAAATGTGCTGCTGGGTCCACCTGTGCTGTCACAACAGATGGCATTGCCTTGGCACCAGAATGACATGGCCACTCTCTGGACCTGCCATGTGGACTGTCTGAGAAGTATCACTCTCAGGAA